CTCCCCGAGGGCTCCATGATGGCCTACCATCACCAGGGCGGTGGGGGGGCCTACCTGTCGGACCGGTCGGTGGTGGTTCACTACCCGGCTGCCATGGGGGGAGGCCACGGGGGGCATTCGGCTTCGCAATTGGCGGGACCCTCCTCTTCGACCTCTTCGGCCGCCGGCGTCGCCGCCGCTGCCGCCTCATCGTCGTCCTCGGGTGCATCGACCGGGTCGGCCGTCGCGGGTTCAGGCTCGGCAGGGTCCGTGGTCCTTCATCCCTCACAGGACCCGGATGATTTGATGCCCGGCGGAGGTGCTTGCTCCTCGGGGTCTGGCGGCGGCATGCTGTTGACGGCCATCCCCGAGCCGCTGGCCGGCGAGTCGGCCGGCGAGGAATCCGATGCCGGCATGTCATCCTGCACCAGTGGCGGGTCGCTTGCCCTGTCCAGCTCCGTGGGCGATCTCGCGGCCACGGTGGTGGTCCCCGGGGGCGGACCCTCCTCGCGGTCGTGCTCGCCCTACTCGCGGCCGAGTTCGCGGCCGGATACGCCGCAGATGTCGGCCACCGGCGGCGGCCCGGCCGAGCGCAGCAGTCTTTCCAGTCGCATCGCCATGTCCCCTCAGCGCCGTGCATCCCTCCCGCTTCCGAGCTTGAACTACGCACACCTAAGTGGCGGTGGCGGCGGCGGCCCAGACGAATCGGTCTCATCTGACTCGTTGGCCAAAACCGTGCAGTCCCTCTCGCAGGCGGTCGGCGGCGGGGCCTTCGTCAATTTGGATGCCCTGCCACTGACCCCCTCGTCGCCGCTGCCACGGCGGACGCCGAACTGTAGCAGCAAGGCGTCCCTGCTGAACCCCCGCGCGGAGGACCCGCTTCTGGTGGATCCGCATCGCGGCGGCCGGCGTCGGCACAGCATCCAGCTCACCTCGCAGGGGACTGGCAGCGAGTCGCTCGTGTCGACTGACTCGAAGTCCGGCTTGGCGGCGGCGGCGGCGGCGGCGGCGGCGGCTGCGGCGGCGGCGGCGGCCGCCGCAGATATGGCTCTGGAGTCCAGCTCTTCGCAGGATCTGTCCAAGATGGCGGCGGCCACGGCCGCGGCCAGTGGCTACCCGGCGCCGACCTTCCCCTCGTCTCTCGGGTCGATGGTGGCCGTGGCGGGCGGAAATGGCGTTGCCGGGAGCAGGGCCCCCGGGGGCGGTCCCGGTGGCTCGCTGAGCTTCGCCCCGGAGGTGGTGTCGCATCTGCAGTTGGATCTGCGATACCACGGGCCGGGTGGGGCTGGCAGCGACCCGAGGCCCGGCAATGGGCGTCTCTATTCGTCGGCCACCGCCGGTGGCAGCTCCACCGGCGGCGGCAGCGGCGGGCCCACCGGCGGCGGATATGATCGTGGTCTTGTTGATGACATGGACACTCGGACCAGTTCCCCCGAGTTCGTCCATGGTATCGGAGTCGGGGGCCCGCACATGGGCCTGGCTCCCGGGCCTGGGCCCGGGCTCATTGCCAGCAGCAGTGGCAACGCCAGCGATGGGAATTTCAGCTGCATGAGTCGCAGCAGCAGCAGCAGCAGTGTCGGCAGCCTGGGTGGCGGTCGGAGCAGTAACTCCTCCACGGAGTTCTCCCAAGCCGCGGCCCTGCATCCGGAGAGCATGATCACTGCGCCGTATGCCAGCATGCTGCTGAGCACCAATCATCCTGGCAGTGTGCCGGCCGGGGCGGGGTCCTTCCACCAGACTGCCCAGCAGCAGCAGCAGCAGCAGCAGCATGGCCCGGGGCGACCGCTCTGGCTGAGCGAGGTCGCCGCTTCCGGGAGCACGACCGCCGGCAGCCCACATGTGGATTCCGTCCTGCAGCAGCAGCGCCATTTGCAGCAGCAGCAACAGCAGCAACAGCAGAAGCAGTCCACCTCCGGCGGGAGCTTGGGGATGACGCGCTCGGCGCCGGCACGCGAATTGGCCCCCCGTCGGCCTGGTGGTGCTCCCATGCCTCTTCTTCCGGCGTCTGCCGCCGCCGCTGCCATGGTCAGTGAATATGCGTCCGGTGGCTTTGCCGAGGCCACGGCGACGGACCACTCGCGCAGTGATTTCTACTTCAGCGATGACTCCATGCAGTCGTCCTTCCCCCTGGGCCATGGTGGTTCGTGCTTCCTCTCCAGGGTCTTGCTCTTTCGCATCTTGCATGTGCCCCCCGCCCTCTGTTTCTTTCTCGCTCGCTCTCTCTCTCTCTCTCACCCCCCCCCGCCCCAAACACATGCATCCCTGTGCCTTCTCCCTATCTCCCCCTCTCCCTCCCTCTCCGCCATATGCAGACGCCGTGTTAGATATGGCCGCGACCGGCTATCATGTCACAGGTGGGAGACCCCAACACCGACTGTACTACTTCGATCCACAGCAACAGGGCCTGAGCTCGTCGGCCGGCAGTTCGTCCGACCCCCAGGCCCTGTCCGACTCATCGACCGCCGCTTCGGCGGTCTACTATTACCCATCACAAGTGCAGCAGCAGCAGCAGCAGCAGCAGCAGCAGCAGCAGCAGCAGCAACAGCACGTGCACCACATGTCGCAGCACCAGCTGCGCACAACGGCCCCGGGAACTTCCTCCTCCTCCTCCTCCTCGAGGCATCACCACTCGGACTCCGAGGCGTACATGCTTCAAGCAAGCGGAGCCTCGCTACATAGCGATGGCGGGTATGTCTCGCCGCCGCCGCCGCCGCCGCCACACATGCCCTTCCCGACGGGCGCCGGTCCTGGAGGGAATGTCGGCAGTGCGACATTCTCCGGGTCCCCGTCGCCCGGTGGCGGAAGTAGCAGTGGCAACAGCAGCAGCAGCAGCAGCAGCAGCAGCAGCAGCAACAGCAGCAGCAGCAGCAGCAGCAGCAGCAGCAGCAGTGGCGGCGGCATGGCTGGCGGCCCTGGCCCGATGCGACATGCCGCCGATCTGGCCCCCAGTTTGCGCCGGTCGGCGTCGCACGGGCCCGAGGGAGGAGGGGCCCCTCATGGTGGCAGTGGCGGCGGGCGTGTGGACTTCCCACGGCCCTCGGTCTCGGCCGAGCGGGTTCTCTTTGCCCCGGGCCCCGGCGGCAGCGGCTCTGGCAGTGGCTCCCAGCCTGCGATGGTGGACTCCCAGGGGGGGTCGACGGCGACTGGGGCCACGGCACTGTTACACCCGCACGCCGGGGCCGGGGCCGGTCCGCCGGCTCGATACATGCCGACCTTCTCGCATGGGGCCCCTGGCAGTAATGTCAACGCCGGGCTGCTGCCCCTGTCGCAGTATTTGCACGCAGCCCCGGACGCCGGCAGCGGCAGCAATGCCGGCCCGATGCATGGCAGTATGGATTCGGCAGAGATGCCGGCCGGTCCTGGCGGGGGCGGCAGTCTCCCCTCGCCCTCAGGACCTGCTACTGCTAGCGCCGGCCCTGCTGCTGCTGCTGCTGCTGCTGCTGCTGCTAATGCTGCTGCCGGTGGCAATGGTACCCGGTTGGCCGGCCCCAACATCGGCAGCCTTCCCCGACCGATGCTCCACCATGTTCTTGGCGGTGGTAGCGGGGCCGGTGGCAGTGGCTCAGAGTTTTTCGCCACTGCCGCCGGCGGCACCCCGCTGGGGGCCGATCCCGCCGGGGTTTATTCCTCCGGGGGGAATGGCAGTGTCCCGGGCGGCAGTGCCTCAGGCACGCTGGCCACCAGCCACGCGTCCAGCGAGTACTCCAGCCCGGTGATCAATGGCTCGGTGTACTCCTTCGCCGGCTTCATCGAGCACACCCCCTTCAATTCGGCCCTCTCGCACATGGAGCTCAGCTCGTCTCTCTCCAACCCGGCGGACGACTTCTCGCCGATGTAGTAGTGCGGGTGGGCGGGCGGGCGGGCGGGCGGGCGGGCGCGCGCGCGCGCGCTCTGGCCTCCTCGCCTCCCCTCTGCCTGTCTGTTTCTCCCCTCATTTGTCTTCCCCCCCCCCTCTCTCTCTCTCCTCCTTCCTCTCTGTGTGCCTCGGTGCTCTTTCTCCCCGGGCGTGCCTCTCCCCTCCCCATCGCAGCAGAGCGAGGGGGCGGGCGGCGCCTGGCTCGCCACCCGGAGGCCGGAGGCAGGAGGAGCACAGGAAGCCCATGCTCCCTGCTCCTCCTCCTTCTCCTCCTCCGTGTCTTGCCTTGCTGCTCTCTCTCCTTGTGTGCATGCGCGGGCGCGTCCTTCCCGTAACGTGCTGCTGTGGCTCGCGACAGTTTCTGCCGGCCAGCGGCGCGGGGCGTGCCCCATCGATGCGGGGGGGGGGGGGCGGTGTGGTGGCCTGTGTGCATGTGTGTGAGTTAGCTGGGGCTGGGCATGGGCCTGCCGTGTTATTCATCATCCCGGGATGCGAGCGCTTGCGCGCTCCTGCCCCAATTCTAGAGATCGACCTTTGCTCCCTCTCCCCTCCCCCTTCCCCTTCCTCTTCTCCTGGTACATTGCCTGGAGCGGGTCCCTGTGTCCTCCAGTCATACCCCGCGCATAGTGGTCTCCTCCGCATGTCCCCCTCCCCTCTCCCTCCTGTTCCTTCTGAGAATCCCTTCCGTTAATACAAATCCTGTTCCAAGATGCCCTGTCATGCGCGAGATCCCCCCCCCCCCCCCCCTGAGGATGCATGGCACCCGGGTGGAGGAGCCCGCGTGTGTGTACGGGTGCGCCTTGTTGTCTCCTCTGCCGGGAGCCGGAACGCCCCGGGCAGCGCCGAGGGAGCGCGGTGACCACACCACCTGGGCGTGATTGCGCTACGGTACCAAGGAAATAAACAAATGCTCGTCGCAGGAAGATCACATGCCCCTCTAGGCCATTTTCCCGGAACTCCCCCTGGGGGTTTGGGGAACGCATTTTCCGTCTTCCTGTCCCCTGGCGCAGGGTGTCTTCTTCCTTTTCCCCCCCCCTCTCGCTCTCTTGCTTTCGCGCCCTGCGCTGCCCGCCTCGGCAGGCCTCCCTGGCTCCCGGTCTCGGGCCCGCCACACGCCCCTCCCCCCGGGGGGGAGGGGCGGGGGTGGAGGGAGGAAGGGCGGGAGGGCGTCGCATCCAGGCCGTGGGGCGGCAAATTCGCGGGCCATATACGGGGAAACATCCCGCCCCCCGGTCCGCCGAGCATGGGAATTAGGCCGCGGGCCGATGTACGCCCACGCCGGGCGGCATGGGGCGGGGGAACGCCCGCCGGGCCTCGGGGCCGGCCCGGCGCCGGATCAAGCCCGGTTCGTGGGTGTGTAACCTCGGCCGGGTCGGGGCCAGCCGAGGGCCTGTTCGCCCTGTTTCTGGTGCCTGGGGCTCTTTCCGCCAGGCCGATGGGACACAAGAAGCCGGAAGGGCGTCTGCCAGGAAGGGGGCGGGGGGCAAGTAGGTCGGGCGCGCCATTGATTATTGCCCTTTTTTTTCCATCTTTTAGTTGAATGACCCTTATCCCTACCTAATCCCTCCGGTCGCCGGGTGTGTGCGCGCGGTTGCCCTCACACGCGCGGTCGCCCTCACATGCACGGACACACACGCACGGACACACACGCACGGACACACACGCACGGACACACACTCACACACAGACACACGCCTGGGGGCAGAGTTGGCAGGGGCAGCGAGGGGTCGGGAGAGGGGGGAGGGCTTCGCGGCCCGTGTGCCCTGCCCGCAGCCCTCTGGTGCCTGGCCCCGCCTTTGTGCGAGGAGGCCCGGCCAGAACCGGCCAAGGCCGTGCTGTGCGGGTTTTTTTTCTTCCATCTCCACCCCGAATGGCGTGCTAGTTCCTGCGGGGATCTCTTCGCGTTGTTGGTGAGCACCGTGGGCAGCCGGGCGAACGGGCGGGCGTGTGCACGCGTGTGCCGTGCCCCCGCCCACCGTGCCCCTCCCCCCCCCGGGCAGCTAGTCTCTGTGGCTGCGTGTGGGGACGGGAAGGCAGTGCCCCCCCCCCCCCCTCACCTGCCCCCCATGCGACAGTGCGTCCGGGAGGTTCTTCGGCTCCTGGAGCCGCGACCATCCCGGCAGGGGTCTGCACCCCCTCCCTACCCCCTCCCCCTGGTCCGCCCCGCCCTGCTGCGTTCCCGCCCCCCCCCCCCGTTCCCCCCTCCCCTCTCCTTCTCCCGTCCAAGTAGCACCCAGCCTCGTCGCGTCCTTGCCCCCCCTCCCCTCCTCTCCCCCCGTCGCCGCTGCCGCTGCCGCTGCCGCTGCCGTTTTCCGTGGGGCGGCCTGCCTGACTGCCTAGAACACACCTCCGGCTGCCATCTCGGACAAGGAAAACATGCTGAGCAACCTCCTGTCGAGCGTGCTCAACCGCTTCCTCGGCCAGTTTCTGGAGAATGTCCAGCCCTCGCAGATCAACCTCGGCCTGCTGAGGGGCAACCTGTGCCTTGAGAACATTTGCCTCAAGTCCGATGCCCTGGCGGCGCTGGACATCCCGATCACCATCACCTCCGGTCCGTTGCCGCGCCCCCGGGCTTTGTGACATCCTCTCCCCCTCGAGACCCCCCCCCCCCCCCCTGGGTGTGGTGCTAACGTGCCTTTGGTGCTGCCATCCGTGGGCATTCCTGTTGCCGGGGTGGAATCGCCTCTCTCTCTCTCTCTCTCTTTGTGTGTGTTGATGTGCGCGTGTGCGTGCACAGGCTTTGTCGGTCGCCTGCAGATCCGCATTCCCTGGACTGATCTGGCCAACGGCACCATCGATGTGCATGTCAATGACGTGTTTGTGGTGGTGCACCCCGAGCTCTGGAGCGATGTGCGTCTGCCTTCTCCGATGGCGGCCTCTTCGCTCTTTCACCTTCTCGGCTCTCGTTGCCCCATGCCCCCCCCCGCCCTTTTCCACTCCCCGCCGCCCGGCTGTCACTATATACTTACCTGCTCCGCCAACGCTCTGACCGATGCTCCGGAACCCCGCATGTGCATGAATGGAAACACGCCCACAAACAAACGCACACGCATGTCCCTGCCCACTCGGGATGCCCCTGCGTGTGGTGTGTACACATGGCCAGTTCGATGGCGAGCTCCAGGCCCAGCGCGACCAGGCCAACAAGAAGCGCCAGGTTGCCGCCTTCGAGGAGGCCAAGAAGAAGGCCCTTGACTCGCTGTCGGCCGCGCCGCCCGGCCAGGGTGCCGGCTTTGTGGCCAAGCTCCTGGCCCGAGTGGTATCCTCCCTGCGAGTCACCCTGACCAATGTGTCCATCCGTGTGGAGGACTCGGTCAGCGCCCCGGTACGTGGCCATGCGCGCGCGAGTGGGCTTCCAATCCCTGGCTCGGCCCAATCTCTGGCTCGGCCCAATCTCTGGCTCGGCCCAATCTCTGGCTCGGCCCAATCTCTGGCTCGGCCCAATCCCTGGCTCGGCCCAATCCCTGACTCCCTTCCCCCCCCTCCTTGCCTCTCTCCTCTCTGCTTGCTGCTCGTTGCCCGCAGGATGTCTTTGCTCCCACTGTCGTCCTGGAGAGCTTGACCATCGAGTCGACCGATGGCGCCTGGACCGTGGGCGGATCGGCCCCCGTGCCGGCCGGCATGTCCTTCAAGAGCCTGGCTCTGCGCAACTTGGCCGTCATTTGGGAGGAGCAAGTGGCCCGGCCCTGGTCCAAGGCGGTTCCCTCGCGCCCGGGCCCGGCGGATCTGCAGCTCTTCCGTCAGACCATCCCCCGGCGGCCGGCGCGACTGTTGGCCGCATCGGCCGCCGAGCAGGTGGCCGAGCAGGCCGGCCTGCGCCTCGGCCGCGCTTACCTCCGCAATGATGCCAGCTACCTGCTGTACCCGATCGACTTCACGGCCACCCTGCGCCTGGACCTGGCCACCCTCCCGGCCAAGGACTCGCCCAAGGTGACGGTTGATGCGACCCTCGGCCCGGTGTGTGTGGCCGTCAACCAGGCCCAGGTGTCCCAGGCTCTGGGGCTGGCGTCGAGCTTCCTGCAGGCTGACCGTGGCCGGCGCTACCGGCGCTTCCGGCCGTCATACGGCCTGCCGATCCGGACCAACCCCCGCGCCTACTGGAAGTATGCCAGTGCGTTGATGCTTGTCGGTTCCCGCTCCTTTGCTGCCTCCCGCCAGGGTCATGCTCACCTCGAAGCGCCTCCCTGCTCGCCTCCTGCCGCCACTTGTCTTCCTTGTCTCGGCTTCTTTCTTTCCCCCCTCCCCCTCCCCTTTCGTACGCACGCGTACGCGCACGCGCACGCGCACGCACACCAGTTTCCGCCGTCCTGAATGACATCCATGAGAAGGGCCGTCGCTCGACGTGGGCCTTTATCCGGGCCCGGCGCGACCTGCGTGTGGCCTACATCGAGGCGTACCTCCAGCTGCAGAAGTCTTCCATCCTGTCGCGCAAGTCGGCCACCGCCCGGGTGGACGCTCTGGAGTCGCAGCTGGACGCCGTGGACATTTGCTTCTACCGGTCGCTGGCCGAGCGGCAGCTGGCCCGCGAGCGCCTGTCGGCCAATGTGGCCACCAGCTCCGTGTCCTGGGGCGAGTGGCTGATGGGGTCCAAGAAGGATGCCACCCTGCCACAGGAGCAGCTCCGTGTTTTGGAGCAGGCCATCGACTACGACCCGAAGCTCGAAAGCAAGGTGTTCTTCGAGCCGGACTACGTCATGGTCCAGGCCCGGGCCCGGCTCAGTTCCATCGGCTTCCGGCTGCAGGAGTCCATCCGGCTGCCGGTGCTGCCGGCGGCCGCAGCCGCGGCCGCCAGTGCCGGCACCGGCGGCGCGGCTCCCACTCGTGTGGCTGACCCGCTGCTGCATCTGAGCGTCGGCGACCTGGCGGCCGATGTGGCCCTGCGCCCGGGTGGCGCGTCGCTCGATGCCTCGGTGTCGGTGGGCGCGCTGGAGGTGCTGGACTTTGTGTCGGCCTCGTCGGTCCATCAGCCGGAGCCGGAGGCGCTGGTCGGCCCCGGCGACGGGCAGGCCATCACTCCCTCCGGCGAGGGGGCCTTCGCCTGTCGCCCGGGCCAGGGGTTCTTCCTCTTTGACCCGGTTCCCCACCGGCTGATTGATCGGATTTCGCTGTCGGACACGTCGGCCGAGGGGCCGCTCCTGACGGCCGACGTGTGTCTGGCCCCGGTGGATGACTCGTGCGATGTGCGCCTCAAGGCCCGGCTGGAGGGTCTCCTGGCCACGGTCCGCGGCACGGAGCTCATTGCCCGGCTGCTGCGGGTCTTCCTGCCGGTGTTGGACCTGGCCACCGGGGATCCGGAGCTCCGGGCCCTGGAGCGCCGGGTCACCCGGCGCCTGGTCCGCCTGCGCGATACCACCCGGTCCAGCCTGGAGCGGCATCTGGCCGAGCGCCAGCGTGTGGACTTGGCCGTGTCGCTGCGCGCGCCGATGCTCCTGCTCCCGTCGCCCCCGAGCGCCGCCGGGCCTGCATCCTGCCTGCTGGTGGACCTGGGCACCGTGTCGGTCCGGAGCCGACTGGTGCCGGCGGCCGCCGCGGCCGCTGCCGCCACCGGGGGTGCTCCCTCCGGGGTTGATCTCCTGGCGCTGTCCTTCCAGATGTATGATCGCTTCGATCTGGCCCTCGATGGGCTGGAGATTCTGGTTGGCGAGGACTTCGAGTCGCTGGTAGGCCGGCTGGCCTCGTCGCCGGCCTCGCCGCAGACCCCGGCGGCGACGGCGGCGGCGGCGCTGGTCCCCGCGCCGGCCGGCGCCCGGCCGCTCGGTGCCCAAGCCGTCTCGGAGGCCGCCTGGTCCCAGACCCCCTGCCACCTGCTGTCGCCCTTCTCCTTCAGCATTGTCCTGGCCAAGTGTATTGCTCCGAATTTGCGGGACTTCTCCAACATGAAGCTTTCTGGCAGGTGCGTTTTTCTGCCCCTACTGGCGCTCTTTTTTTTTTCCTTTCTCTTCCTCCGCATCTTCCCGCCGCGTTTGGCCGGCGAGAATGCGGGGCCCGGGCGAAATGGGCCGGTTCTTCCCTCCTCCCGGGCCGGGCCTCCCATCTTGCCTGCTTTCGCTGTCGGCGTTTCACCTGCTGCTTTGCATTTCCCTCACGCTGGCACACCGGCGCCCGGTCACTCACTCACTCATCCGCACACGCATCGCCCCCCCCCCCCCCCCCCCCCCCCCCCCCCCC